AGATATTTAGGCTGACTGAGAGAACAAAGAAAATGGATTTGGATTTTTTTTTTTAGTTCAGCAAATTTGTCACCTAGCTGTAAATAGCAACCAGAAGCTGGCATTTGATAACTCACAGATTTGTTTCCAAAATGACTCAGCAAAGACTGGTAGGTTACATTTGTATATATAAAAAGTCTCTTTTCAGTATCTACACAGACAATAAATAAAATATTTACTGCACAAGGTACTACAGTCACTAAAGCAATGACCTCCCATTATTTTTGCTGAACAGGTGTAATGGAGAGAGCGAGGAGGACAGAAGAGTCATTTCCCTTCAGCTGGACAGAGACCACCATGCTCTGTTCGTGGCCTTCTCCAGCTGTGTCATTAGAATTCCTCTGAGTCGGTGTGAGCGTCATGGGTCATGTAAAAAGTATGGCTACATTCCTGAATTCCCTCTTAAAGGAAGGGCAGCAACATCTCTTGGGAAGGAAGTAAAAAATGCATGATTTTTTGGGTTTTTTTCTCTTGCAAGGGCATGTATTGCTTCACGGGACCCGTACTGCGGCTGGTTAGACCATGAGACTTGTGGAAGAGTGACACCAGGCATGTTGTAAGTACTCCTTTTCAAATTAGCCCAGCATCTCTGTATATGCTTAACAGACCCCATGAGCTCAAATCCCATGCCTCTTCCATTGCACACAGTTAATAAATCTCCATTTTTTTAAACATGTTTTTTCAGTACACTGTGCATGTAAGAGAACAGAATGCTAAAGTCTGGCCTAATTCTGCAACCTTTGGGTGAAGACTTGCTTTCAGTGGGATTTTTACATGTGCAGGAGGACAAGCAAACCTGTAGGAAGAGCAGCTGGAAGCAGGAAGGCTGCCTGCAAACCTGAGCAGCTCAGAGAGGAGAGTACAGAGTATCCCCTCCCAGGCATGCTCCCGGCAGGGCACAGCCAATTGCAAATATGAAAGCACAGGATTCACAGTGGGAAGAGTAAGGTTGTGCCTCAGCGCTGGAGCTGGGGTGATATATATGCATACCAAAGGCATTTTGCACAAATCAAGTCTGTAATATATGGTGCATTAGCAGCTGTATCTTAAAAAGAGGCCTTTGTAGCAGGCCAGTGCAAAGTTTAACTAGTATAATTGGACAGTTGTATCTAAACCCAAGAGCATGCCCAATGGAGAAGACATGATGCAGTTGCTAAAAAAAAAGGGATTTTTTTTTTTCTATTTCCTGGCATAAGCACACACAAAGAGTTTTAAAGCCTGGGCTATAACCAACTCGTGCATTCTGTGCAATTCTTTGGGCCATACACTGGCTGTTGGATATGTTTCTATTTGCTGCTTCCAGGGGAAAAAAAAAATAAAAATCTCCATTTGTATCCTTACTAATACTGTTAATTGCAGGTTCTCTTTGTTTGTTTCATACAACCACAGCACTGGAGGATACGTACAAGACGTCGAGTACGGCAACACGGTGCAGCTTGGGGACTGCCATGGTAAGGCACAGTCGATGCTGCTCCTTTGTAATGTCTCACTGTAGTCTGTGGCCACACCTCACTGTGGATGTTAAATTTCTGATGAGCTTTTCAGTAACATGATGAACACATCACCTGGTGTTACTGCGAATGTTCACAAAGCTGAGCTTTTTTGGTCCTGGGTGGCAGAGTTTTTGTCTTTCCTTCACCAGTTTACAACTATTTGGGGTCTACAGCAAAGTATTGAAGAATTTATTTTTTGTAACCAGTAATATTTTAGTTTTTATTTTCCATTACTCAGGTTTGAGATCTTTTGCTTTCTTTTTGTTACTTTTTACTGATTACTTGTTCCTTTAATTCTTTTAGAAATTTTGCCTACTACAGCTACACCAGATTACAAAATATTTGGCGACCCAACATCTGGTTAGTTTTTTTTAATTTTTTGAATTAATGACCTTTACTTTCCTTCAGTTCAGCATTTTCAGCCCTTTTTTCCTTCCTTTTGCACAGTTGGCAGTCCTCCATTTTTGTGCTTTTACTCATGTTCCCACTGATGGTAAAGATAGTCAGACTCTTCTCACTCAGCACTTCACCCTGTGTAGCCGCATGTTAACAGCTCATTATTTATTGAGCCATCTTTTATTAAAGAGCCTGATTAACATAGATGACATCTTCACTGCACGAAGTCCTCTAAGCTTTATTCTTTATCCCCAGCCATGTGTTTGTGAATGCCCCTATTGGTCATCTCTAGTAGATGAATGGCAGAACTTCATCATCTTCCTCCTTACCTCTCCTTTTCTCTTTTCCTTCTTTCCCAGCAAGCTTTTTGCACAAATACGCATTTTCTAAAATGTGTATTTCTATATTTTTGAAATGCTTTAAGTAGTTTATGCTAATGGCAAAAAATTTAACATCAAAAACTGTGTAGCTGAATGAGAACTTGTGTAGACAAAAGTGGCTTAGAAAGAACATTGTGCATTGTTGTCAGATGAACTTTCACATCCTTTTCTCCTCCAGTGACTTTTCTAATAGTGTTTCCAGTGTCAGCCTCTGGTGTTCAGGGACACCAGAGTGCTCCTCTGTTGAACTCAAGAGCAGAACCTGTGTTGACTTCAACAGGAGCAAGACTCAGCCCTTATTTTCCAGTCTTTGGTTCTGGAACTTGGGTCTTTCCTTTCAAACCAAGGGCACATTTCTGACTGACAAATACAAAAATAATCTATTTGTATGTTAAATTTGCAAGGGTGAAACGAGAACATTATTTTGTGGTTTGGTTTCTGACATTTTCACTTCTGTAACATGACAAGAAGTTGAGACAAATATCTTCCAGATCTATTTACTCATAATGCAAGTTAGAGACTTGCTTAGGAAAGCAAAACAAAACCGTGTTACACGAAGTGCTGCCTGGCTTCATGAGCATTTATTGACTGAATTTTCAAAGTGATATTTTATGACACAGATACAACTGAACCTTATTTTGAAGTCCTGAATTTGTGTGCTTTTGAGGTACATTTCTCAAGTCCGATCTTGAGCCATAGACCTTCATGCCTAAACCTACTGTGACAGTGAACACAAAACACTTGAGTGTGCAAACTAGACTGTGAATTGTAAACCCAGTTTGATGTGTTTCCTGCTCCTGTGTGTTTTCACGTAGGCTGTGGTGGTTCTGTTCAGCAAACGTACTACAGAGAGCCAGAATCTATGCAACCTTATTCCTTAAGAACCATTACAAAATAAGAGGTTAAAAGCATTCCTTTTATCCCCACCTGCAGAAATAGCTCATTCAGCAGTTCCAGGTATACCATAATAACAATAATGGAGCTGATCTGGTTTCTCAGGCGTAACCTGTCATGAGCGTATATCTTTCCAAGTAACTTCTTTTTTTTTGAAGATGTTTAAAAGGCAGCCAACTATGTTGTCTCCAATGAAGAATACAGCAATTAAGTATACTAAGTTGTGCTTTTCACCCCCACAGTTGCTTACTTTAACTTTTGCACTGCTTTCATGTTTGACTTCTCTGGCTTTTTGGCTAGCAGCTGTTGATGTTTAAATGTACTTTTTTCATACTTAAAGTTTTGAAGTGATTGATTTTAATCAGCCATCTGTACTTCTGCAGAGTGTAGGGGGGTCACATTTTGTAACTCCCGTTAAATACTGTCTCCAGTTATAGCTTAGATGTGCCATGAAACACATTAATAAAAATCTGTTTGCCACCACAGACATGAAGTTCTCCTCAGCTTCCATTACCACAATGGCAAGTATCCCAGTTATATCACCTAAAGTGATTGGTTCCTGGAAACCTAAAGTGACTGGCTCTCGGAAATTTGTAGTTCAAGATGACCCAAACACTTCTGATTATTCTGATCCATTATCAGGTGTCCCAAAGGGTAAGGCCTTACCAGGGAATACATTGCAGCTGAATGGAAACCTGATAGTCTCAGCATTGCCTAAGGCTTAAACGTAACAACCATGATTGTTGGGCTATATTTTACACCCATTTCCTGTGAATATGCAGACAGTGCAATCATGTTTTTCATATATACTTATCCTGTGGACAAAATGCTGCTTAGAGATTATAATGAGAAACACAGATAATAAGCTCAGCCTTTTATTCCTGGGTTGTTTCAAAACTCCTATTGAAATCAGTGGGAGTTCCAGATGCATTAAAAAAAAATTACCTTCAAGACTTGCCTGTACCTCTGTTTGTTGTTTTCAAACCAGTCTAGTTTGGTTAAGACTATTAGTCCTCATGAATGGTTGCTTATATTTGGGTTTTTTCGTTTGGGTTGGGGGGGGAGGGAACAGAAAACAAATCAAAGCTCAGTGACAGAGCCATGTGTTAAATGGGGCATATCCCAAACACTGCTTGCCTGGAGCATGTTTCTGAAGAACGTGGGTCAGAGTAAGAATGTGCTGAATTTTTATTCTCTGGATACGAGCATCAGTTTACAGATGGTCTTAGTACATACTGAGACACGCAGAGATTTTAAGCTAAACACAAAAAGAAACCTATTCTGCCTGTAGTTCATCCTTCTGTTCACTTAGCTAAGTGAACCTTTGATTAGGCTGTTAAGGCAACAGAGACGTTAATTGAGTAGGACTATTGCAGTCAACCACAGAATCGAGAAGCTTCCAATCCAATAACCAAAACTTAACACAATTCTCCATCAGTGCACAGTACAGTGAGGTGACAGACATGTTTGCACAATTCTGTATTTACTGAAAAATCTCACCAGCCAAAAACCATTTGTGTTTTATTACCATTCACCAAAACATATCAGGTTTCCTATCAGCCATTATGGCAGTGCATTTGTCATTTTAATTTGTTGCAGCTATTTTCCGTTTTGCTTTAAGTTTTTATTATCATTTGCTCTTGGTTCGGAATCACATTTTGCATCGTAGCTATTAATGAACTTTACTCATGTTTTCCTTCTTCTTCTGCACAGTGCCATTAAAACCTGTAACCCTGAACATTAACAATGTTCAAAGGCCTTGCCTCTAACAAAAAGCGAATCTGTTCCTTCCCTCTTGCTCTTTCATTCTAACATCTCTTGGGATAGCAACAGAATTACTTTCATTAAAAACTAACATTGTCTTAGCTGCAAGATGTCTGTGGTTGCTTTAAAATCTCAAAAAAACAAAGGGAGCTTGTTAATACACAAATAAAAAAATTAATCAAATATTCAACTTCTTAGTCTAAGCTAAAAGTTTCTAAATTTTAACATTCTCTAATAACTTACCCTGCAAGTTGTGGTTTTTTATGTTATGTAAGTATTTATGTTCATTATTGGCTAAAAAAAAAAAAAAAAAGAAATAAAAATTAGTGCTCCAACAGAATCACATGATCCTGAACTTCAAGACTTATACATGAATATAGTGCCAGGTGTGCACTACAGGGCCAGCAACATGGGGGTGGAGTAGTTCACAAGTTTTGCACTGTATTACATTAGCATGGTTATAACAATGCAGTATGTACTTTGTACATTTTTACACAACATTTGCATAATCCTGTCTCTCCTTTGATACTGATTTATGAGTTGGGCAGAAAAGAGAGAGAAATCCATCCATGAGTTATTAATTGCTGTCTGGCCCAGTAGGACCTTCTAACCTCAATTTTCCAGCAGAAATCATTAATGTTAATAACATAAGGCCCCTATTTGTGAGCCTTAAAGGAAATTTGGGGACAGGCTAAACAAAACATAAGGAGAGAGAAACTTTGACAAAAATACCTTATTATCAAAGCAGATAGACAGTCTTCATTTAGACTGGTCAATGCTCACAGAAGCATTTTTATTTATAAAATTATTTGCGTTCACCAATGGTGTGAATTGCAGAATCCTACTGAGTTACACCAACACTACACCCAGAGCACTTACAAACACTGAGTAGACACTTCCCTGAGGGAGGCTGTCATCTTCTGAAATGTGTCAGTGTGAATACCTGTAGATTTATGATATCCTGCCTGTTTTTTGCAGGTGTAAGGTGGGAAGTACAATCAGGAGAGTCGAACCAAATGGTACATATGAATGTCCTAATCACTTGTGTCTTTGCCGCTTTTGTCCTGGGAGCCTTTATTGCGGGAGTGGCCGTTTACTGTTACCGGGATATATTTGTACGGAAATCCAGAAAAATACACAAAGATGCAGAATCGGCTCAGTCCTGCACGGACTCCAGTGGGAGCTTTGCCAAACTGAATGGGCTGTTTGACAGTCCCGTCAAGGAATATCAACAGAACATTGATTCACCCAAACTGTACACAAACCTGCTGACTAGCAGGAAGGAGTTGCCTCCAAACGGTGATACAAAGTCCATGATGATGGACCACAGGGGACAGCCTCCAGAATTAGCTGCACTTCCAACTCCTGAATCTACACCAGTTCTTCAACAAAAGACTCTGCAGGCTATGAAAAGCCAGTCGGACAAAGCGCATGGTAACCTCAATGCTTCACGGAAGGAAACCCCACTGAAAAGCCCTCAGTTTTTTCCTTCCAGTCCTCCACCCCACTCTCCTCTAAGTCATGGACATATTCCCAGTGCTATTGTTCTTCCCAATGCTACCCATGATTACAATACATCTTTCTCAAATTCTAATGCGCACAAGGCAGACAAAAAGATGCAACATATTGATCATCCACTTACAAAACCATCCAGCAAAAGAGACCACAGGAGATCTGTTGATTCCAGGAACACCCTGAATGATTTTCTGAAACACTTAAATGAAACTACTAATAATCCCAAAGCAATTATGGGAGATATTCAAGTGGCCCACCAGACTTTAATGCTGGATCCAATGGGCAATATGTCTGAGATCCCACCTAAGGTTCCCAACAGGGAGGCATCTTTGTACTCTCCTCCATCAACTCTTCCAAGAAACAGTCCCACAAAACGAGTGGACGTTCCCACCACCCCTGCAGTACCAATGACCTCTTTGGAAAGGCAGAGAGGTTATCACAAAAATTCTTCACAAAGGCACTCGATATCTGCCCTTCCTAAAAACTTAAACTCACCAAATGGTGTTTTGTTATCCAGACAGCCAAGTATTAATCGTGGGGGGTACATGACCCCCACGGCAGGCACAAAGATGGACTACATGCAAGGGACGCCTGTCAGCGTTCACCTCCAGCCTTCCTTGTCCAGGCAAAGCAGTTACACGAGCAACGGCACCCTTCCTCGTACAGGAATAAAGAGGACACCCTCCTTAAAACCCGACGTGCCACCAAAACCCTCATTCGTTCCTCAGACAACTTCAGTCAGACCACTGAACAAATACAGTTACTAGGACATGTCTGTGCTAAAATGAGTGTGGCATTGACCTGTAGAGGTTGTGAGATGATGTTGTGGTAGACACATAAGACAGAGACTTGCTTGTTATTAAGGAGAACAAAGTGGCCAAAGAAACTGTCTTTACTTCAGCAACATCTGTGTCTTGCCACATGTAGCTGTAGCAAGACTTCGTGTACTTGCTACAAGCAAACACAAAAGAACAAAGGAAAGTGCTGGTCATTACATTTCTTTTGTTTGGAGCTAAGGAGACATGTAGCACAATGGGGTGGGGGCTACGTTACTGTTCTAAATAGCTAAAAACAGTTATTGGGAAAAAATCAGTAAGCAAATACTTGAAAAATGGGTTCCATTTTAGACTGCCATTAAGTGTGGTCATTCCCATTAAATGTGAACATTTTACTATGTATGCATTCACCTTGCCTCTTGCACAAATGTCAGAAAATGGTAATGTCTCAATGAATAGCTGGTTTAATAATCAATTTGCTGGAATTCAGTCTCTGGCCCAACTGTAGCATTATTTTTTTTTTCTCTCCATGTGTGTGGCATTTTGTTTTTGCCACAGATAAGCTGTGCGTGTGTGTGGATGTGCGTGTGTACTGTACACACTAGGATGTACTTAGATTCCCATTGCATCTTTTATGCTATGGAATTGTTTACATTGAGCATGACTGAACAAACAGATGACTCTGCCTTCTGCAGCCCGTTGGGTTCAGTTTGGAGCCGGCTAAGGATGAACTGCGCGTCTCTGACAGCCTCCTGAGTGGTAACACCTTGATGAAACAGTCACCCGGTGAAAGAGTGCAGATATGTTTAATTCTTCATAACTCTGTTATGCTGCTATTGATTCAGAGCTGTGCATTTCAAATCTAGTGTTTTGGGCTGGAACGGGGGAGTTTTACTGTGTTTCCACAGTGCCTCCATCCAATACCTGGCCACTGTGAACTTGAGCCCCTGTACTTCTCATTGAGGGCAGCTACTAATCAATTCACTTGGCAAATGCCTGTGTAACTGGAGAAGGTTACATTTTTGTTGCATTTAATTATGCCCTACACGCTGATAGACTCTTGTCAGTAAAAAAGAAGAAACATTAATTGGCCTGGCAGAAGCAGTCTGTGAAAACTCAACAGTAGTGCAATCAATTTGTTTTTGTTGTGTAAAGTAAGGTTTGTTTTTTTCCAAAGTCATGCAGGTAATGACAATATTCTGTAAATATTATGTGTGAGTTTACCTGAATCTGTGCATTTTGTGCCTTATTCATGCAAATGATAAAAGTACTAAAAAAAAAAATTAAATCTGTCAAGTGTTCTCACTATAGCACATATCTCCCGAGTGCCAGTTGTAAAACCTCTCAACAGCACCCAAAAAAAAAAAAAAAGGATAAAAAGCAAGAATAATTAATGGTAACTAAAGGCAGCCTACAATCCAAGAAGACAGCAGCATTAAATCACCTTACCATGATAAACATTCCACTCCAGCTCTCTGAAGGATCAAACAGTTATAATGTGAAATCAAATGAGGTTTCTAGGGTAATGGAACACCTGCTAAAGTTGTGTAAGCTATTTAGTAGGGTTTACAGTATCCACTTGCAGCTGATGTTCAACACAGATGGCTATTTTAGCTTGCAAACTACACACTACCACATTGTTTATTGAACATAACTATAGAAATAACCATGGCAGAGGAATATTCATGAATTAGTGGGACAAATAACTGCAATGGGTTTCAGAGATGGTGGAGATTTATATTATGTGTTCAAAGGGGAGAAAAGGTTAGTCACTAAAAAACTGGATCTCTGTTACAGAACAAAGAATAAAGGATAGAAGTAGTCATTTCTTCTTGTAAGGCTGTAAGGAACATTTATTTCCTGAGACCTCTGGATCCAAAAATCAATGATCTCTCTTCCTAAACACTTCTGTCTTGCAACTAAAACACTACAGATTAATAACTATTAAAATGTACTCCGTTGTCAAAAGACACAAACTGATCCGAATTCACTTTACAAATATTAATACAGACTTGTGTGACCCGAAAGATAAATGTATGTGAACCCTGATAACCTCCTGTAACATTGTGCTGCCTTGTAGATGGTAATGTGAGTTCTCTCAGTATTTATGTTGAAATTTCTAACATTCAACCTAGTCCTTATTCTGTTAATTTAATAATAAAAGATGCTTTATCCATTTGTGCAAAGGTAAACGCAGATTGTATCTTTTTTAATGGTACGGCATAAAAAAAGTAACCCTTAAATGAAGCTGCTCTATACTATAGAGTACTTTAACATGTATAGATATCTTGTAAACTTGTATTGTGGATGTGTAAATAATACGTTCTTTGGGTTTTTAACACCGCATGTAAAGTCAAAATAAAATATTCCAATGTACTGAGAGTGTAATTTCATTATTAGTGCAGATGTTTTTAGACGTGTGGTTGGGATTACAATGGAGAAAAATCTCTGCTTACCTTCAGTAGTTCAGTGATGAAGGCACGGAGCCATCCAGCCGCTCATCAGCCGTACGGGAATTGCGGAGGTGGAGGTGACACACACCAGAGTCCTTCGTTTTCCTTGCAGCCACACGCTGACATGGGTGTTCTTGGGGAGCAGTGAGGGTCTGGAGGTGACTTTCAGCCTCCTGAGGTAAATACAAAACATCCAAGTAACCAGTGTGCAGTGGCAGAACACAGGACAGAGCCAGGGCTGCCCACATGGCACACCAACATGTTGCACTGAATTTGAAAATGTGCCCTATATGCCCATATGAAGCCTTTACTGGAGCTTGATCCAGGTTTCACCTGGGCAAACCTTTCTTATTAAGGTTAAAAAAATACCAATTTTGTGCAAATGCAGCACAGTTTTGTAAGATGGTAGCGTGTTCCTTCTAAAATATAGACTGTAAAAGATAGAGCTAATTACTGGTAAAATTAATTGCAGACCCACATAGCAGGACATTCCTACATACTTATTAATGCTTAATAATTGAAATTCACATTTCTTGCAGACAGTAAAGCCCAGCAGAAAAATATATGCTGTATATTTAGCATGTGCCAACATCACACTTGATCTTAAGATAATTTAGTAACAGAAAACAACTATAACGTACTCTTTGAATTAAAACTTGATTTTAGATAATGGATAAAAACTATGTTTTTATGAGATTATGCTGTGAAGGTATTAATCATTTGAAATTGCTGCCCATGTTTTAGCAGTACAATGGCACCTAGTTGTATCTTACTAAAAAAAAAAATCTTTTAAAGTAAAAAAAGTATGGTGCTTAGAAAAAAAAAACCTCCCAAACCTATAATGGCTTAATACATATTTTTCTAGTGTCAAAGAAAATTTATATTTCTTTTTATTGGTGTATTATATTTTTTCATTGGATGTCTTTATACATGAAATGAAGCATCAAAGACATACAGCTGTCATATGCTGCAAGCCTGTGCTGCTTTTCCACTTAATTTCCACTAAAATTAGCGATACCTTTGACACCAAAGTGTCAGCCAGTGTGGCTAAAGGTGGTCCTTCCATGGAGGGTCTGTAGCATTTGAAGCACACATCTACTTGAGTCATTTTTAGTCAGGCATTAAAAGTCATTAGAAAATTACAAATTTCTATTTTAGTGACATATAAATGTGCATCTGCAACGCAAATCCTGGGGTATTTTTTTGTGTTCAGAAAATGTCTGTATTTTATCTAAAATGTGCCAAGTGACCATTTTCCAGAATATTGAACCAGCCTTCCTGTAAGCAGAGGGACGCGGTTGCTGGACAGGTGTGGTCAGACCATCATCTCTCCAAACATCTCCTGAGCTCAATGATGGGTGCAAACACCACAGAAGTCTATGAAAACAAATATTTACCATTTTTTAGAAAAATAAGTACAAGAAAACCTCTCCCTTTATTAACAGAGAGGGAACATGGCAGGCAGTGGCTAAGCAGCCATACCAGCAGCTTCTAAACTGCTTTGTCTCCAAGGATGATGCCAAAGCACCCACCTACAGACGCCCCATTCTGGAAGGGAACTGCAGCAATAAGGAAAACTTAGACAGAAAAGAAATGAACACAGGTTCAGTTTTTCTTCTCCAGTGCTCTCTTGGGTCAATTGATTGGTTTTAAGCGTCCTAAAGTCTCTCTTGAAGAACAGTTCATGGCCACAGCTGATGAGCACACAAAGGGTGCTTGATGCAGGTGGGCAGGATCATCCTGGCAAGGGCAGGTCCCAGGCCCAGAGCACAGAGCTGGGCTGAGCACCCAGGGCTGCTGTGGGCCGGGGCAGCAGAGGAGAGGCTGCTACTCATCTCTGCCTTGCTTTGGTTTTGATAGAAAAAAATAATTTTGAACAGAACACAAAAGGGCTGCAGGCCCACACTAGTAAGATGATTGCAAGAAAACCAATTTGTAAAATCGTGAGTAGTTATCTCTATGACTGTGCTGCCAGCACAAACCTATGGCCTTTTAAATTGGGGTCTTAAAGTAATCAGAGTAGTTAGAAAAATCAGGATGCCTCTGTCTTAGTGCTGTCTTGCTAATGACTCACTCTGTGACCCTGGGAAGATTATGCAGGGTTTATGCAGTAAATGGCTCCTCAGAATGCAGTGTTCTTAGTGCAGTTAGTCTGTCTGTAGCATTTTCCACTTAATGTTTCCTTCTCTCTCTGTGATTCTGAGAACCAGCAAAGACATCTTGCAGGTAAATAAAGGGAAGGAGAAATACCTTCCCATCTGGGAAAGGTTAGTATTTGCAGGAGTAGGGAGGAGTTGGTTGGTATTTCCCTGGGTGCTTATTAATTTCATGGCATGGAAAAATATTTTTTAAAAATTGATCACGACAAAATACCTCATAAATGCAGCATCTGGACTTCAGCTAGGATGTGCAAGCTTTTCATATAAAAAGCAGTACCAGGAGACCAACGTACCAAGACTGCATTTGTTGTTCAAATGTCATCATATCACAGTATGAAAGAGCAAGAAACCAAAGGATTTGAGAGGAAAAAAAACCAAAAAAACACATTAAATATTTAATTAGACTGAGCTTTGCTCAGAGAAGTAGAGATTCTCACCTTTTTATTCAATCCTACTAAAGTTCAGCTGGTGTGAGGGCCTGACTCTGGACCAGCCATTGCTGCCTGCTTGCAAACATTTTTGTAGGCATATTGAGTTGGCCAGACACACATCTGAAATTATAATCTGTGCTGAACTCTCGACTGAGAAACTGTTTCTACTCTGCCTGAAATGAAATTTATTGGAAGCTCTGATTTTACTAGTGCGTTCTGAATTCATCCGATGGCCTGATTTATGGCCTGCTCACTTGCTTTTTTCCTACAGTCACTAATAACTTTTCTGAGCTCTGCTCGTTAAAATTGTAACTAGATCCAAGTCTGTGTCCAAGTGAAGGCTGCTGACCAGAGTGGAGAGGCCAGAGTGTCACAATGTTTAGGTAAGGGTTGAGAATTCCTTGAGCTGCAATGGTGACACTGTATCAGACTGGTGCCTCTGCCCTTCATGTCAGCCAGGAAGATTGTTGCTCAAGCTCCTGTAATGCTTTAAAGGGTAAGGAAGGAGAAGAAAATCTACCACATGGACAAGCTGTCCTGACCTTTTTCAGGAATGATCCCCATTTGTCAACAAAAAAGGCAGTTTATGACTGAAAAACTTGAATGGCCAAAAAAAACCCCACAATCCCCAAACCGACCTGCACACACCTTGCTGTCCTTGTTTTGAGAATCAGAAGCAATTTTTCCAGGTCAGAGTCTCACTTACTTGCACAAAATTGAGCAAAGAGTAACAATTCTCAATGAAGGCCCTTCTGCAGGATCATACCTGGCTGTAATAGCTGTCTTGTAATTTTTTCCAGTAGCTGACCTTAACCATTGGCAGAGGCAGCCCATGAGCTCACTGGTTTGCTTCTGCAGCAGCATGACAGCCTTTAACATATGTCTGTTCCTGCACAGAAATGGACGGCTGCCTAGTAAGAGAAGAAAGGTGGCAATTGGCTTTTAATTTGGGTCACTTCAAGCACAGGGTTATTTCTCAAATCTTTGATTTACAATACTGGCCTCACATGAGGAAAAAATAATCAAAAGCAGATGAATCATAAAAACAATGCACAAGCTGGCTGCACCTTCCTTTTCTGTGCAATGAATATCCATCTGATTACTCTGATTTCCTCAGGAATACACGTTGGTCAATTAACAGCCTGAGTTTTTTTTTTTTGTTACGGACTAATGGCAAATATTTATAATCAGGCCGTGCTGTATAACCACAAATGGCCATTAGTCACAGGTTATTGTGCCTCACCAATGATTAGGTGAGAGAAAAGCACTTCCAGTATTAATGCTGCATGTGAGAATTGATTTCTGTGAAAGCTTGTGCATGCAGCTCTGACATTCAGTCTCTGTCACCGTTAGCGCGGGTGAAATACTGACTCCATCGAAGGAGGTGGCAGAGCTGCATGGGGCCAGGCCTTCACCCTCAATCACTCAGACATTCCCTGAAAGCAAATGCTAAGGAGGTATGAGCAAGGCCAAAGCAAAATGGGCAGCACATCTACAGGAAAGCATTTGCTGCAACAGGACACAGCCCCAGCATCATCTCTGGCCACGTGGTCAAGGCTTCAGGGTAACAAAAATGCCTCTGCAGGAATGGCCTGCTATTTCTGGTGGCTGGAGAGTTTTCCAGCAGGTACTGCCATGGAAGCTGAACTGGCTTGCTTAGGCCAGCTGATGTTTTGTGTACGAAATCCTCTTTGCCATCTCTGGACCACGGTGTGTGTGGCTGTAACTCTGCTTTTAAATTCACTAGAAAAGCTCAACTGGGACATAAGGTGCCAAACACAAAGCTCCCAGGCACGAGAGAAAAGCCTTATAAAGGTACCACAGAGCTCATTGAGACTGCTGCAGGGGGCTGCTGGTGCTAACAGAAGCAGAAGAAAGTGTTTTGTGGTGTTTGTTTCACTTCTTTTGGTAGGTGTATCAAGATATCAAAATCACAGAATGATTGAGGTTGGAAGGGACCTCTGGAGATCACCTGGTTCAAGACCCCTGTTCAAGCAGGGACACCTGGATCTACTCATTCAGGAAATCACTGATCTGACCTTGGACTGAATGACAGTAAAAATGATTACTCCCCCCTAAACCCCTTTCTAGGAGAACTTTCAGATTAAGCAGGTCTTCTTGCATAAAGGTGAAGTCCTCCTTCTACCCAGGCTGAGGGGAGTTTGAATATTCTATTTTTATTGCAGCACTTACTTCTCTTTGACAAGCATAGAGTGCACATCTCAGATAGTCCTTCACTGTTCAGATCCCAGAGGATATCTGCCGATCCTAATGCGCAACGTACCACTCTCCATGCGAGTCTTTCATCTGAAGCGACATCATGATCAAAGGTGAGGTTATCCTGAGTGCAACACACTGTGAGAAAGTCATGTGATGTTTCAGAGCTGCTTCATTACTAGGACGGATAGCTCTGAAAGCACTTGAAAATGGCATTTTACTATACATGATATGTCCCATATTACAAGCATTCCTTGCTAGTTCCTGCTGCTGCAGTTAAACTGCAGTAGTTGGTAAAAGACTGGATTTGCTCTTCCACAGGAACAAAACTCCAGGTAGAATTTCTCCCCATATTCTGAGGGA